ACTGGTGTTTGGTTTAGACAGGTTTCACTCCACTTGTGTTCAGTTTAGCCAGGTTCCAATGTACTGGTATTTGGTATACTGTGGATAGGTTTCATTGTACTGGTGTTCAGCTTGGACAGGTTTCTCTGTACTGGTTTTCAGTTTAGACAGGTTTCTCTGTACTGGTGTTTAGTTTTGATAGGTTTCACTGTACTGATGTTTAGTTTTGATAGGTTTCACTGTACTGGTGTTTAGTTTTGATAGGTTTCACTGTACTGGTGTTCAGGTTAGACAGGTTTCACTGTACTGGTGTCTGGTTTAGACAGGTTTCACTGTACTGGTGTTCAGTTTAGACAGGTTTCACTGTACTGATGTTCAGTTTAAACAGGTTTCACTTTACTGGTGTTCAGTTTAGACAGGTTTCACTGTACTGGTGTTCTGTTTATACAAGTTCATTTTACTGGTGTTTAGTTTTGAAAGGTTTGACACTACTGGTATACAGTTATAACCAGTCAACTATAACCAGTCATTTGGCTGGGTCAGGTTTCCCTGTACTGGTGTTCAGTTTAGACAGGTTTCACTGTACTGGTGTTCAGTTTAGACAGGTTTCACTGTACTGGTGTTTGGTTTAGACAGGTTTCACTCCACTTGTGTTCAGTTTAGCCAGGTTCCAATGTACTGGTATTTGGTATACTGTGGATAGGTTTCATTGTACTGGTTTTCAGTTTAGACAGGTTTCTCTGTACTGGTTTTCAGTTTAGACAGGTTTCTCTGTACTGGTTTTCAGTTTAGACAGGTTTCACTGTACTGGTGTTCCATTTAGACAGTTTTTGCTGTACTGGTGTTCAGTTTAGACAGGTATCACTGTACTGGTGTTCAGTTTAGACAGGTATCACTGTACTGGTGTTTGGTTTAGACAGGTTTTACTGTACTGGTGTTTGGTTTAGACAGGTTTTACTGTACTGGTGTTTGGTTTAGACAGGTTTCACTGTACTGGTGTTCTGTTTATACAAGTTTCACTTTACTGGTGTTTAGTTTTGAATTGTTTGACAGTACTGGTATACAGTTCAGTTTATCAGACCCAGGATATGCCAGGGACGCTCATACATCCTTGAATGAGAATTACTTCTTAAAAGCCATAATTCATGTGTTTTTTTATTTTTGCTCAACACTGAATCATTCCCGTCTTATGTGGTAAAACTGTCCCATGTAAGGTCAGTACGGAGGTTGAGAGTGTGATTACGTTTCTCTATGGGTCCAATGAGTCAGCTTAGAAGAATGGAATATTCTAGAATGACATTGGAAGATGAGATAAGCACTGAAATAAACCAGTCTTGCTCTATTTAGAGTTTAACGACATATTTAGAGGACAACTTTCAGTGTAAAAGTTTAAGAGCAGTAGAGGTATATATATAAAGTACAAAGAAAGTGATATTAAAGTTCAACTCCATTATTTGAAGCAAAATCCTAAACTATGTAGTAAAAAAAGTAAAATTAAATTGAATACTCCAACAATTTTGTTTTAAATGCGCAAATGATATTTATTAACAGTATGTGAAGGTAATTATTTATATTAAAGGATTTTTGTTACTGAAACATATATAGTGCCCAACAGAAAGTAAGAACTATGTGCTGAATGCAGATACTGAACGCCATAAGAGTGTAATCTTTTGAAATTTCAAAACAAAATCTGCCTATTATTTAAATTCAAATATTGTACTGCATAAATATTTTCAAAAGTTTTTTAAATCAAATTTGGCCAAATAGTCCAAAAGACGCAACAAAAACTTAATCAATGAAATATACAATTGAACTACTTGAATGAAAAAGTTCCTTCTCAATATTACATTGACAACCCCACCCCCATGTATTCAGTGTGTTCACATCAATATAGTTTCTATTTAGAAAGATGGTGAACAAAATATTTGATGAAGCTTAGTATCAGTAGCACCGATTGTTGCCATGGAAACAAAGATTACATGTAATCTCATCAATGACAGAGGAATTTTGTAACAATTTGCATCTACTACTATTTTACTTTAATTTAAGCATAACCATGGCAACACAGACTTTCAAAGCTTGATAAAGTGAAAAGCTTTGACAAATATTGGTGATGTTTCAAAAAAGTCATAATAACATCATGATCATGATTTTTCTACAGATATTAAGCAAGGTATTTTATGTGAGTTGTACACTGTGTATATATCAAACACACGTAGTGTAATAAAAGTGAAAAAAACTAAAAAAAGCTAATTTGGTTAAAAAAAAGAAGAATTACTAGAGAACATAAAGGGTTATTGATTTTTTTGTTTACAAACTGAAGTAAGAAAAAGCAGATGGGGTTCATCTATCTTTATTAACACTGACCAAGGTTGCCTTCTCTCAGTATGTGCTTTGTTATTTTAAATAGAACACAGCCTGTTCACAGTCTGTGTTTGACCAACAAGGTCTCTAGCATATAGAAAACAGCAAGAGTGTTATGAAATAAATGTTCATATAGTAACTCCTTATCTAATTTGCTCTAACACCAGTTCAATTCAAAGTAATCCAGACACTATTAAAAATATCTAAATCTTAAAATATAATTTTACCTTGAATTGAGTGTTAATGTTAATCAAAAAGATAAAAAAATTATATTTATTCTAATTTTCCAGTTATGAGAATTGCAACAAATTAATTTTTTTCTTGAAAGTGTTAATGATCATAAACATAACAATCATGATTCAAATACACTGTGTGATATGTTAAAGCATCACATGCGTCTCTTTCGATATGCCACAATAATCGCACAGCGTTGTGTTCATAATGGCCACAATAATCGCACAGCGTTGTGTTCGATATGGCCACAATAATCGCACAGCATTGTGTTCGATATGGCCACAATAATCGCACAGCGTTGCGTTCGACATGGCCACAATTGTCTCACAGCGTCATGTTCAATATGGCCACAATAATCGCACCACATCACGTTTGATACGAGTCAAATGCAATTGAGCAATGCACATAAACTACATACGTGTATGACGACTGTGATGATTTATACACTCACAGTGAAAATCAATTATAACAGAATAAAACATGTTTACGTGTTTATGCACTCAACAACATCATACAAATATTCTAATTTAACTTTCACACATAGATGGATTCTTATTTTAAATGTATGACAACTAGATCTAAAATTTAATTCACTTTCAAATTTATTGCTTTTTAAGTTGTTGATAAATTGTGAAAATATTCAAATTTCATCATTTCAGAAAATTGTTAATTTTGTTATTATATCAATTATTCTGACTAAAAAAATATTTATGTTCAATTTGTTTTCTTAAATCAACATGGCTTCTAATTGTTTTTACATAGTTTTAACATCAATCACTGTGTTTTTAGGAATTATCAAAAGCAATTGTTGTACCTGAATCTTCATCTCTGTAAAAACTTACAAAAGAATAATACATATTTGGTACATATCATATTCTTGTTCTAAGATAATAATTTCTGTAAGATGGACAGTTATTTTAGGATTGTACTTGTGCAAGGAGCATCATGCTTTTGTTTTGTTCACACCTGAAAAATCCCCTATGATTGGCTGAATGAACTAGTAGTAATATAATGCCACCAATCAGAGACCTTGTACCATCAGTTTTGAGTTACTAGCAGGAGTAAACTTGCTAAACAGTGTCGCATATGATGGATGGAAGAAAAATAAACAAAAACCCTTTCACAGCCTTTGTCATGTTTTGTCCCCTTCCACCAAATAGTTCCCATAAAAATTAGTTTGATTATAAACGATCTTCATAAAAGTAAGAAATCTTCGATATTTATAACAGAAATATTATAATTTTGTTGATTTTAGACTCTTGCAAACATTAACAGTAGAACATTACAAGGCAGAATCCAAAAAGTCTAAAAAAAAAACTGTCAACAGACAAGCTGCTTTCTGATTGGTCTGATTGTTAGGAGTTAGAGTTGGGTAGCCAATCAGGGTACAATCTTGTAAGTAGCTTCGCACTGATTCCAACATTTGAGAGAATCTGGCTTGTACCACATGCACAATAAAAAAAAACTTGTTAGTGTCAAGTGATAGCTATTCTAACATAGAATGTCTCCGTTGTATCCCCTGACATTTTCAAGTGCTACATAAGCACATACAATATTCTGCAAATGTGGTAGGATGTTGTTATTCCCAAATTTGTTTCTATTTTTGGCAGCGGGTTCATTAGTATACCAGCACCGAGGTATGACTAATGACCCATTGACACTCAGCATGAAACAGACATTGACATTAAAAATACATTATTTGCCTTGCTACAAACTTGTTACTTTTTTTCTAACACGGTCATTATTTTAACGCGAAGTTCTGCAGGGATTGCTTTTCAGATTACCCGTGTTGCGTCTCGGTTCTAACTAATATTATCACGAATAAAAATCCTACTTCCACACCAGGCAATTCATGCCGAACAACTAATATTTCAACCAAAACAAATGTTTTAGAAAATATATAATTGAAGGGAAATATTAAAATGCATATTGAACAGAATAATAGGATCGATTACCGGAAACATTCAGCTGTTTGTGCAAACACCGACATACGAGTCGATAACCCATTGCACCCCAACAGGATCGGATTTAGAACGGGCATGTCGAACGCCGCAGGGCGCTCCCCGACTTAAAAGATGTTATAGAAGAATGAAGCTTGTCTGTGATCTGAAATAATAATAATAATAATAATAATAATAACAACAGTACTGCGTACAAACAAGTACAAAGTTTCTCTCAGTTAATACCAAACAATACACAAGACACGTAATTAAAAACTATAAATTTAAATCAAGCATGTTTTGGAGATTTCTTGCAAGGAACGGTTGTGTATGAGCAACAATCACTATCCCCTGCTTTGTGGCAGCCTGGACCAAAACAGAAGAACAAGATGACCGAATGTGCAACGCAACAAGCTAAAAATTATAGTTATGTAATTGAATATAAGTTATACAAAAGATGAAATGTTCATTAAAAAGTCCTACCTTAGAAATAGTTATAGGGAGGTTGCTATCTGAACCGCCCTGCAGTCTAAAGCCCCAAGGAGCTCCGCCGGTTAGGTGGACGCGCAAAGTCTGCCCGCGAACCATTATTCTCAGTACTTAGCAGCAGAGTTGACTAAAAATTCAAGATGGACGGGTGCCTTCCACGGCTAACATATCATTCGAGTCTAATAGTTGCTGCAAAGTTTGACGTACAACGACCCTGTAAGAATGCAAACTCCCTGCCAGACTCAGACCAAACCGCACCACTACAACGCAAAGTTCAGAAGACAACGAGCCACGCCCCTTTCAGGACACCGAGAACTTTCATGACAAGTTCCAGGACAGGGTAAGAGTGCGACCACCACTTGTTTGGTGTACTCGTTTGTTGTGCATTTATTCTGGTCAATGGGGACAAACTTAAGTGGGCAACAATTGAACATGCACTCAACGAGTTTATTTTTGGCATTGAGCCAGGTGTAGCTTCAAAAGGTGTCATCACGAGCATGTCAACACCCCTCGTTTACCCCATAGGCTGAGTGGAATAGTCCGTGGTATTTTATGATGCGGTTCGGTGTGACATTGTGATGATCCTCCCGGAGGCTCATCTAGGGTGCATACGAATTGAAATGTTTCAAAGTACTATCTTCATCCCAGACAAACAGATTATATTCAGAGCCCTATAATTTAATAAACACCAACCCTTCTACATAGACAGTAATATGTTTTGGCATTTTTTCAAAAATTCGACAGTTTATGCTCATTAATCGAAGTTATTTTCGTTAACATTTCGGGAGACATAAATATATTACCACCATCTGCACATTCCAGAGACCGTTAAGGAATGTGCGGTATGTGACTGCTGAATTTTGCCGGTAGGTGGCGCTCCATACATCAATTCTCGACCGCGGACTCGACTGACGCGCTGAAGAAAGCGCGGTAAAACCCGCCGTCTAATTTACTTTACGTTAACATTATGCATTCAAATTTGTATATAAGAACGTAGATAATGTGTTTACATTGTTTACGAATGTTGTGGTCTGAAATAAACACGATTTCGGTGAGATTATCAACACAAACATTTCGTTGTTTAGTTGTTCGTTGCGGTCAAGAATAGATTGGGCGAATGAAATTTCCATGGACAACTAACTACAATATGCAATAGCTCCAGCAATAGCTCCATGATTTTACATAATAGACCAATGGACACTGTCATGCGATTGGTGACTAGGCTTCAATAAACAAAACTTTACACTCATCTCCATCAACCGATTGAAGAAAGCACCCGCACACCGCGTTTCAGAAAAAAGCGCGGAGAAAAAATCAATAATAGGAGCCATGTGATCTGTTAATGACATACATACAGTTGAAGTATACAGGTATGCGCCGTTGGCCCCCATTTTTAAAATTTCCGGCCACGCTAGAAGCGCCCTCAACGTCGATCCTTTTGGGTCCAGTTTTTAACTGGTTGCGGAGCACTCGCACACAAAATCCAGGTGAGTACTCCCGAGGGAGGAGTGACATGGAACCAGCAGTACCGCCAAGTCATCAGAGAGTTACATATACGACTATTTATGAGTTGGATATGAGCCCCATAGCAATTTATACAACAGGCGAGTACCAAAGGTCCATATAAAATAACATAGTAATATTTAGAGGCAAACAACTTTCGACCCATGTATTTATCTCTCTATATTGTATACATCGCCACTACATATTGATTTTAAATTACTCTTTTTAAAATGTTCATTTTAAATTTTATTACTTGGAATCTTTATTTTAAATTGTATTACTTCGAATCTTTGTTTCCGCAATTAAAACAGACACATCACAATGTTTGTGTAATATATACATATATGGCGTATTAGAAGAGAATTTGTTATAAACACTATTAGTTTTAACAAGTTGCCATCTTCCCTCAACGAACCATCTTTGATATATGCCTTTTCTCAATTACAGCATGTACAACAATTGCATCTGAATTCCCCAAATATGGTCTGTCTGTTTGAAGAGGATTAGTGCGAACACTGTAAGTCTGCCAATGGGTACTTGTTGAATCTCGACTTAGCAATGAACATATATTACTACTACTACTACTACTACTACTACTATAATAATAATAATAGTTGCTGTTGTTGTTGTTGTTGTTGTTGTTGTTGTTGTTGTTGTTGTTGTTGTTCTGAGCAAACCCCTTTTAGAGGTGTCGAATGAGTAAACAATGATGATGTATATGTGCTGTCTGTCACGTCAACATTTTCCCCATTTGGTAATTCGGTTAAAAAAAATATGAAAAATGTATTTTTCTAAATTGATATTTAACATTAATACGTGCCAGTATTTAGACTAATGATGTTCCCTGCTAACATCAATATACACAATTTATAACTGTATAAAATATCATTCTTTCTAAAAACAATTTTAACTCGATTTCGCAATAACAAGCTGGTGCAGCGAAGCGTCACAAATAAGCGTGTTCCCAAACAAAGGGAAATATTACTTTATATGTCAGATGTACTAGGTGTTTCAACCGAAACATCACATGACTTGTGAATATTAGATTTTTTGTTATATTATTTATAATATAACTTTAATATGACATAATCCTAGCGTCTGAGCTGTATGGGATGAAGCAAAACCACGGATAAAACACATCACGAGTGAGAATAATTTTTACCCACACGCCACAAACGTCAATGCGGGTCCACGGGGTTCTGCCATATTATGTTTTCACCTTTGTAGTCCAAAGTGAATCGATATGGAAGAAAGAATGTATCTATTCGCTAAGTTAATAATGTTGCTACGTAAGGTTTCTGTCAATGAATGCACTGTCACCATTACCACATACCATTACCTATTGAACTTTCACATACACAGAATCAGATGCGACAACAGTGACACTACGGCTGAAGCTAAAACAAAAATGATGTCAATACATTTTTAGCTACTGGAGAACAACTTCCGCATTTCATAGCATAACCAGATAATTTAGAAACCGTAGATGTCACCTTTAAATGGGAATATGTTCAGAAGATCTCGACCGATGTTCCTATTTCATAAACAATATTTTGGTAGATAGAAAGAAGAGCTAAAATCACAATATCGAGTGGCGTCCTTCATAGACAGGATTGGAATAGCATTCTACTTCGTGACTAATAGTTCATTCTAAAAATATAACATATTATAGTTTGAACTCTTGATTGCAATCAAAAAGTACAGCGAAAATGAATGCAAACGTATATAGGTCAGTGGATAACCTTTCAACCATTATACCTAATACATTGATTACGTCAATGATTGATAATGTTCTGTATCATACTGTGTATACTTTGATTGGCAGCTGTGTTTGTCTATTGCACTGTATGGTTTAATTTCTGCCTACTGGTGTTGCCGTGTTTAAATGTTCATCTTTTCCTTATTGTAGAACGTGTCGCAATTTGGATGCATAGTTGAATATTCAAGTTATTCAATTCGAATTGGATATATATTAGGTAATTAGTTGAGGTCACATAGCTCTTCAAATTATTTTTTTTACCCAAAAACTCTTAATCAAATTGCAAAATAATTGAGCACTCGTATTTTAATAGTGACATATTTGCAAAAAAAATGTATGACAATATTACAATATGGTAAAAATTACCTGTAAGGCGTTCTTGTCTTCTAGGTATGAGAATAAAAATAACAGTTTTGCGCAAACGACATTCTCAGCCATATAGTGAAATTACAAAAAACAACTAGAAGGCATTCCGTGCGAGCAAACATCTGCCGAAGATGCAAATATTTTGGAAAAGAAAGGCAAAACCCATATTATATAATTCAATACAAAACAATATATTCCAATACATGACATCTCTCATTTTTGATATACAATATCAATCAGTGATATACAATATCAATTCAGATATTGTATTACTTAACAGTGATTAATCAACACATCTCAAAATCAATCCGTCTAACAGCCCAATAAACACTGTGACTAGAAATGTTTATGATAATCATACAAACTACAGTTAACAATAATCCATACCGGCATTTCATCACACTGAAATCTAGAACAGTCTAATCATTTTGTATGGTTAATGAATACGATGTCATAATCCATTTCTATTTCAAATGTTTTTACAATGATTGAACTCTCACTACATGCAAAGTCTTATGAAATGATCATCTTCATTATCATTCACTTAGTCTCCTTCACAGGATGTTATCACGAAATCATGAAATTTGTTTGGTAACACTATCTGTTTTACGTCTACTTATTGGTGTCGCAGTATTGTTGGAGAATTCCATCGGAGATTTGTTGTAAGTGTTGTATCTTATCCTGCTGTATTTCTGGTATCGGTTTCCTCTAGAACACAGTACTTGTTGACCTGTGATATATTACGATCATCTTGAAGTTTCACTGGTGACTCTACAGTAACTTTGCTTTCTGCTTTGGAAACTACCTGCATAAAATTTTTCCGTTCTTTTCATTTTCGCATCTCTCTCTCTCTCGAACTTCGAGATCGGCGAATTCTCTCTTCAACTTGGGCGTTCAAGTACGCATTTACATACCGACAGCAGTACTGATAGCTCTTGCCAGTATGTTAAAATTGCTTCTTCTTTAGAGTCACTTCCTTCAGCTTGTGCCGTATTCATCTGATTTTCAAGTGACTGGTGTTGCCGCCCAACCATTTTGCCATTTTGGTGTAACTATAGGTGCATGGGCCAAGACAATCTACCGCAAAATCCTCCCACGATGCTACAGAAAGACTAGTACTCCTAATTGCCTCTGGCGGACAACTATGCATGTTTTGCTTTTTTTTCTAATTTCACTTGGCCACCTTTACGCTTAAGTTGTAGAACACTGTGAATCTAATACTTAATTGACGCAAACTTCTAGAAAGAGTGATAAACCGAGTCTTGAAGAAACCCTTATATTAACAGGGTCTTTTGAAGCTGTAGAATCACAATTCCATTCCAAAGGAGTCTCTAGTCAGAAACAGTACCTGAGTAAAAATCCACAGAAAAGTGAATGTTATAGATGTGGTCAGAATAACTTTGCAACAACGAACCGTACAAATTCAACACCCATCTGTCGGCGTGAAAAGAAAGGAGGAAATCCCAAATACAATAAAAGAAATGGGAAATCATTTGGTAGAGTTTGAGTTAATCTCTAATCTGGTTGTTTATATCAGTTCCTTATTCACACCCAAAATACACTTTCTT